ATTAATACAAATAATATAAAACTTTAAATCTTTGTCACTTTTAACATACTAACGAGCTTAGAGTAATTACACATAGAGTGAGTGTCATTCAAAATTTCGTTCAAAGTTGAAGCAACAACACAATGAATGTGTGCATAAGCGGCCTGTAATTACGTTCGCCCACACGCACACAAGCAAATGAATAATGTTTGCAAGCTAATGACATTTTCCCCAAAATGTGGGGAAAATGTAAACATAGTCATAGAATTAATATTTAGGTTGCGTTTTTAATAATTTATTAACTATTTGCAAAGAGAAAAATGTAACATTATTTATTTTTGTTAACTTATGTAATATTTAAATTAAATAATTTAAATATTACATATGCAATAAACAAGATATTACGTATATAAATATATACGTAATATCTTGTGTTATATTCACAAATCTATTATGTTATTATATTATTCTGTTAGAAGTGTTATATTTATATAAATATCTGTTATTTATCTTCCATTAAATCTTATATAATTTGTTAATATTAATTTTTATGTAATACTCAATGGCCTTATTCTATGATATATAGAGAAGTGGAAGAAATGATGGAGGCAAATGCCTACGTCCAGTTCTTCCAGTTTTTCCAATCCAGCCCCACTTACACATAACAAGTGAATAGTTGTCAGATAATGATTTTAGCTGTCAGATATTTTTTCATTAGTTATTCATTACTAGTTGTGGCTGTGGCCCGCGGCTTTACCCGCATATCAAAGCATATACTGATCTCGATTCTTGCCATTCTAAGAATCTACGTGATATATTTAATTTAAATCGGTTTCAACGTAAAGGTTACAACATACAACTTTTACAGAATGGATATAATATAAGAAGGAATCACGAGACTTAAGAATGCGGTCAGCTTTTAGTGATTATTATTATTACTTTATTGGATATCATGTTTTGCATTAAAACAAAATAAGATTCGGAAGGAGATAAACTATTCAAATAAAACATGAAATTAAAAATGTTTATTAAATAATATAAAAGATACTCAAGTACTTAAAAAATATCTCTTAATGACCCTGAAACTGCAACTGTTTTCTAAACAACTGCCGCTTTGATGACGCTATCCTCGAAATGTTATATTTTTTAGATTCATAAAAGAATCGAACTAAAAATGTTAAATATATGTAAATTAGAATAAAAAAAAAACAATCATGTTATTTATCCTAAAACACATACCGTAAAAAGGTAAAAACAACTGTACATTATCAAAACAAAATAAAATCAACACATTTTTTTTCGTGGCGAATGGGAACCCTAATAATATTTGGCGAATAAAAATACCTATTTATATGTGAATAAGACTATTGGCAGTATGTATGTATTTTTTTCAATATGCACTTTTTTTATAATTATAAGAAAAAATGGGGTAAAATATTTTACTATGCTTAGCAACATTTTCATTACATTGGCGTCTATCAAATTTATTATTTTGTTTTGATGTATGTTTTTTACAAAAATATAAGATGCTAGGCAGTAATTACCCGTGAAATGAGATTTTTACATTTTTTTCGTGATTGTGTGATGAGTTGTGACACTCTTTCACAGTACAGTACGTCATTTTTTTGAAAAATTGTACGGGCTGTTTACACGACTACGTGGACTCGGTAACTAACGCGCCAAAAGTCGTACTTAGCCTTTAAAGGCTAACTTGAAATGGCTTCACTTTGCGTACACCTACTGCGGTTCTAAGCCTAATACTTCTATGCTAACGAGATTCTAACACCTGTGTTTTTCATTTGATATAGGTAATTAAACAGATAAATCTGTAAAAATTGTAGGAGGTTAACAAAACTCTTGTATTATAACAGACTCTTAGTTTAATTAAACTCATCAGCTTTCCTTTTCCATTCAATACGTGATTGGCTAATTTTACCAAACCGCCACAAAAAAGAAAAAGAAGAAGACTCGCCTGGACTAAGCATGAAACCAAAAACTTGTTATCTATAATTTTCGAATTTTTATAGAAAGCTGGCAATCGTAAATTAGAACCGGAAATCTCAAACCACGAAATTTGAACATTCACTGCTAATTTCTAGAGACGAAGAGTTAAAATAATAAAGACTTCATAAAATTAAAAATTACTTTATTTAATCACTTTCACTGTATGTATGTTTGCATTTAGAACCTGTTTATCATCTCTTACTACCCATTTTTCATTATAGTCTTCCATGTTAATCTTTACTGGTATTTTATCTTAATCTAAGGGGAAGGGTAATGTAAATAACACAACTGTAGCTTGTAGTCTTCTTTATACTCAGAGTTTGCCAGAAACTATGAGTTTGGTTCCCATTTACCATTTCGTAGCTTACGAGGTTCTTGGTCATTGAAATGAGCTTGATTTGTTATAAATAAAATAGCATAGAAACAGTAAACATTTTTATTGTAAATATTTTTGGTTTCTCCTTACACTCGCAATACACTCATGCGTTATCAAAGCACTAGAAACTCGCGACGGCGTCCTGGTAATATAATATGTTTTAATGTTCTAATTTAACAGCAACTTTTCAAACTATACCATTATTAGCAACGGTTTACAGATACGATATAATTTAGCAATAGTTTTACACCCATCGCGAGTTTCCCCAAATCTTGGCAGAATCGTAAAGCGGTATACCCGCGGATATACCAGTACCTACACTATAACATTAGTATGCACTTTATTTTACTATCGTTTTCCATCTTTATTGCCCCCACCGAATTAAATATGAAATATAATAGTTAAGCTCATACAAAAAATAATATAAATTTAATTTTATCGAATTACTTTTAAAACTGTAAAGATTAGAGAATGAAATCAACGAAAGGGTAGAGGGAAAAGTTGAAATATAATGAACAAAGGTAAGACTTAATATTCTGGATATATTTTCGCAAGCTAGGTTTAAAAAACAAATCAATACACAAAAAAAATGTAATGAAATAATTTGGTTCAGTCCTAAATATTTTTATGTTAAGAAGGAATAAACACAAATTAAGATTTCAGATTGATCAATGTATGTAGATAAATTTGCTCTAAATACCATCGTTTTCCTTTTTAATATATAAGCTTAGAGGAATTAAATACATAAATTTCACCATGAAGTTTTATTTAGTTTATATGTACTGGATTCCCAACAAAGATAAAATTTCAAACATCAAACAAAACGTGATATTATACAATTTAAAATTGAAACGTTAAATAATGTTATGGTTATATTACGTTGGTTACAATTAGTTTTAGCACTAACTTTAGTGACTGCTTTAAAATTTACTAGGTATCTGTTATATCGCAACACTTTTTTGAATTTCGAATGCGCTTTGTCTTTGGTCTTCATCACATTATTCTTCTCCTGATGAAGTGTTACTAGTGTAAAAATTTAAACATATTTTGGTTAGTTTATAAAAAATAAATTTTAAAATGCTTACATGCATTATATTATCAAACGAAAAGGCTGAGTCACAAAATAGGATAATAATTTCGAAATATTAAAAGAATAGAACGTTTAATATGTGGCTTTTGTGAAGTCATCGCAGAAGAAGATTTTTAGGGCGATTAAACGTTTGTACTAATCGCTAGTTTTAAATGTTTTCTAAGTTTTTGAATTTTTTACTAGGTTTTCAAAAATTTGTAAGGTATTTAGCGTAGAAGAATATTTTTTACCAAATATAATTACCTATATTAGTAAGTTTATCATTATTTTATTATAGTCATGTATTATTTTTTACTAATTTAAGGTAAAGTGTGGATCTCAAGAGCATTAAACTATAGATATTTTCATATACTACAGAAAAATAGTGACTAATTTTAAATTTTCGATGCACGTTTATTAAAACAAACATATCAATAGTTATTAGAATAACACATTTTAATAAGAGGCAACTTTGTAGCTGTAGTGGCATGTTTGTTTTATAAACATGCATTCATAGAAGTTCTAATTAGAATAAAAGCTAGAAGTAAGTTTTTACTGGCAATTTTTAAAAAGTTGACATGATATTAGAAAAATAGGTACTGCATTTTTGCTACTATGTGCTATTTTATTTCATAAGGCGGAGCGTAGTGCTAAATTTTAAAATAACCAAATCCAGTTTTCAATTTATTCATATGATTTAAGAACAGTAAAAAGTAAGAAAAATGTAATATTTTACCTATATAATTCGAAACCATTAAATATGTTATTAAAGTAAACTATTACTAAAGCAAACAGTTTCCATCTCCAACCCTAACATACATTCCTTTTCGATCCAATGTTTAATATATTAATAACATAGGTACACACGACTGCGACAGTTAACATTAACATAATATAATAATTTGCCAAAGCGATATGTTTCCTTATTGTAACATCGTGTTTTATGCATCTGTATTTATTTTCCTTTAATATAATAATCGATCGTGTTATCAAATACTACGTTTAATATTCACACCTAACACACGTTATTTGCTCCGATAAACCAATAGTGATCCTAACTGTACATAAAGCTTTATTATAAAATAAAATCTAAACTTCTTTAAATACTAATACTAAGCTATGCATCAATTTGCCACTTACGTTTTATTTGGTAGCGTCGCCATTTTGTCGTACGTTATGGTTAGGTAATGGCGTCGTTAAATTCAAAGGAAAGATTTTTATTTTTATTCTCTTAAGTTACCATTTTCTTACTTTCATTTGAAGGCCGTACCGAAGATTTGCTTAAAATGATCGTATTGTCTGGGACTTTAATGATGATGTATCGAATTAGAATTCTATATGAGGCACATGTTAAGATTAAGTAGAACAAGGTAAATTTTATCGATAGTCCTGCCCTAAGCATCGCTAAATTTTATACCTACATTTTTTAACACAACAGGAGACGCATAACATCGCACGCTATGGTAATAAGTAGAATATTTTTGTAATTTGCGATCGCATCTCATCGCGTCAGCTTTGAATAGAGAAATGAGTGATTTTGATTATAAAATAAATCTTGGAGCCCGTGAAGCGCTAAAACCAAGATGAAGCGCCACCCAGCTTGGTCGATAGCTCCCCAATACCACGCCCGAACATGTTGCCGACCTTAAAAGAAAAAGAAAAACAAATAAAATGCACATAATCATTAAATATATAAATTTGAGTAATTTTTTTAACAAAGAAGGCATATAATTAATAAAAGTTGTTATGTAAAACAGGTTTAGGTGCTAAATATTAAAAATTGTTGATGTCGATAGAAACTTATCACAATTCACCATTCAAAAAAAATCAAAAAAATCGAAATCAAAAATCGTTTATTGCGTTTCAAAAGGTAGTAACAAACAAATGGCAAGAGCCCCTGTACTGGGTTGGTAAAACCTGTGTTACGGGGTACCCGTACACATACATTACCATTTTGTTACAGTACCATTTTGTTTAACGCTCTAGAAAATAATGAACGGACTCAATTTAATAGGTTTAAAGTTGTTACCGAGCTTGGTGTCCACACACAACACTCGGACGGTGGCGGTTAAGTTATTTATCATCCGTAGTTCCGTAGCATCATCAGCAGAAGCTAGCCTTAGAAATAAGACACTTGCTAAGTGGTTTGGTTTTAGGACCATAAAGCAGTGTGAGCAAGAGTGTGGGGTGAGGGGTATTTTTAGGGTCAGGGATAACTAATCGATTTATGTACTAGCAACACCCGGCAGACATTGTCCTATTTGTAAATACTAATTTTCATAGCGATTGGTTGAACAGTAAGACGACGATCAACAAAAGTATATGTTGCAGCGCCATCTAGTGGTGATTTACAATGAAGTGGCTAGCATAAAACTGCGCTAGCACTACTTATTAGTTTGTGCATAAAACTCATGGTGTTCGATGAAATGGTGCCGAAATCTATATAATAATCACAGACAGATATACATAACATCCACTTTTATAACCCATAATAAACTCAATTTTTTAAAAATATTTTGAATAATATATTTTAGTTAATAGTGGTTACTAACCTTCCCAACAACTGCCGAAACGTTGCCGAGCTTAGTATCCTCGGTAAGAGATTCTAATTTGGACTTTCCGCTCTTGGATCCCTCTTCGGAACCACCGTCTTCACCTCCTCTGTGAACGAATGTTTATATATATATATATATATATATATATATATATATATATATATATATATATATATATATAATATATTTCTTCTTTTTCATGAGCCCGGAAAAGACCACAACCGGATTTAATGGACTGGATGGAATGGATGGGCGTCTTCCATTGCTAAGGAGGATGTGCCTTGGCAGGCAGTTTGCACTAACAAACGCAATTAAAAAAAAAACTAAAGTAAGAATTTGGTAATATCAGTTTCTCTCTGTCGCCTCTTACGACACCCAGGTGACCATATAGGGTAGTGGATATGCTTACACCGCCACTATACTGTTGTTCAATAAACTATATAACTAATTAAATAAATTAAGTGCGGCGTTTATACTTATAGTACAGTGAAATCTGGCAACTTTACCAATGGAGATTAACTTTGCCATCAGGGGTAGGTACAAAATTGCGTTTTTGAGACATGCAATTTTTGGAAGAAAATACTATAACTAATTGACAGCATTGTTTTCGATATGACAACATGAGAGCATGGAGGTATAAATAAGGCGGACAGAATTTTGTTAAGAAAGGTATGATGCACTGTAATGGCGGCGGTGCAAGTATGTTTGCGTGTTATATAGGGTTGTCATGTGAAACAAAATTTCCCCATTTTTTTTTATAAAACAATCTGTCAAAATATTACATAACTTTGACGAAATACCAATTTATTATTACGTAACTAATATAAATAACACATTTGACGATTAAAAAAATCTATGAATTTAAGATTTAGATTTTGATTGAAATCGAATTATTCTATTTCAATCAATTTCGATTTAAATTATTTTTTTTACAAACATTATGTTATACAAAAATTGTATTATATTATTGGAACGAAATTTATAACAAATAAACATATTATAGGTAACCAAAAAAATAATATAAAACTAATTTACAATATATTATTTTAGAATTAGTATGAAAACATTTAGAAACAGCATGGTAGCAATCACCTCATTCTCAGGGGTTATGATCAATCATGTAGTCTTATACCCTAATAATCCTTACTATACAATTTTTACTTGGGTAAAAATTTTAAACTTTGATAGATAAGAACAGCATATTTTGTGGGACTTTGTTGTGAAAGCGTATACGTGAAGAATTTACTGACTTTTTTGAGTCGATTAACTGGTATAACTAACTTGTGCTTTTTCCTAGTATTTACAGAATGTACATCACTAAATACAAATACATACATTAAATTTTCGTAAATATACTGAGAGGCCAAAGTTAATATATTTATTTCTTTAAATTTTCTGCAAGTGTAAATTATAGTTATTATTTATGACAATAAGTCATAAGTAATTACCATAATTTACTCATTTTCATAATAAACAACAATGTTAAAACTTTTTTGTTGAATAATTTTTTTTTAAACAACTGTCTTTTACTTTCGAAGGTTCTTGAAATCCCTTCAAATTTAGAAATATGGTGGAATCGAATCACCAAATATTTTTCTGCTTTATATTTAATAAGACTTATCTTGTGCTCTATCCCTGCGAATATGTGCTCAAATTCCAAGCTTACAAAAACCCTGTCATTGGCAATAAACTTTTCTTATATTTTTGTAAGTATATACTTTTGTTGGCTTTCATTGTACATTATAATGTTTTCCTTAATAATCTTTCGTACAACCATTTCGCAAGTACAACAAATATTAAATAAATCGTTAGATGGAAAACGTAAACCTCCTAAATTTATTTATTATTTTTCAAATATATTTATTCATGAAAGAAATGCCTTTCTACAGTATACAAACTCACGGTGCATTTTTAGCATTTAATTTTTTTTGTTGCATAATAAGCAATGCTACCCGCCAGATATCCAATTATTAACTTACAATAGTCATTATGTGATTCTACCCCTAGTCGCTTAGCTAGCTCATCATCTTCTTCAGTAATTTTATTTAAAAATGATAATGAATAACAAATACTATCATCATCTTCTTCGTGACGGTATGTTGGTGTGGTGGAATTGATTATTTGAGTAGCCGAATTGTAATTAAGCACAGCTATTTGTTCCTAATAATAATAATAATGAAAGTGGACGAAGCAAAACAAGTATGTAAAGATCGTAGCAAGTGGAAAGAACTGGTCTCTGCCTACCCCTACGGGAAAGAGGCGTGATTATATGTATGTATGTATGTATTTGTTCCAAAGGAACACAATTTCCTGTAGTTGAGCACCTAAAATCTAGATGTGCCAGCAGTTTTCTGTAGCAACTTTTGAACTGTCTGACATTAGGGTTGTTGTTAAAGTCACCTTGCATTCGAATACAAGAAAAAAAATATTTATAAATGATCCTGATTTAGTTTGTAGGTTGGCAGGTACATTATTTTTTCTTTCATTATGAATATATTTTTCATATAAATATTTAAATCTTTCTATATTTATTAAAGTGCCAAGGAAATCTGTTTTGCACTTAGCTCTTATTAAAGATATATGATACCGAGTAATCACAAATGTTACCCTCCCATCTCGCTTTACTTTTCTTTTGCTGGAATAATTCATTTCTAATTATGATATGTATTTTAGATTCGATATGAGATTTATATACTAAGTTAAACATGGCAACACATTTAAGAACCTTCTTAACCGTATTATAATAAGTCCAATTTTCAGGAAATAGTAACATAGTAAAAAATAAAAATCACGATTACAGCACAACATAACGAACTATTATGGCCAGAAATTGCATAAAACCGCATTATAAGCGATCATGTCATTTTTAAGGAAAATTCTAGCAAAAAAGTGCACATAAAACAACCTTAAGAGGTTGTTGGGCAAACATATATACCGCATCCGTGCCAACGTGTGTAAAAATAGCAATTTCCCAAATTTCGGGTAATTTTCCCTATAAATAATTAACAACACTCACAGAATACCAGCGTAAAATAGCAGCTTAACGCTGTTGTGTTTTGTATGGTGAGTGTAGAGAACCGGAGACCTTTTTTACTGGAAACGGGGCATTACATCTTAGTCCTCACGGGTGACAACGCATCTGCATTTTGATTCGTAGTCGAGAATAGATGTAGATGTCTATGGGCTGCAGCAACCACTTACCATCAGGTGGACTGTATGTTCGTTTGTCACCCTTATCCTATAAAAAAAAACTGATCACGTGACTCATGTTTTTTGTGTTCCAAAAATAGCATTTTAATTTAAGACATAAAATTCCCAAATAAGTGATTTTAATTACTGACACACCTATGAAAGGTGGTTCCTTTAAGGTTAAAACCACTATGATTTTTACAAAATTTAACGACGCAAGATGGCTTATTGATTTTTGTTTTTACTTACGCCAACTACTTCTTCCGGACGACGTTTGTTGCGTAATGGCGGGCGCTAGACTTATTACTAGTGTAAATGTGTGCGTGATCCCTTGTACGTACAAGCGAGCTGACTTACTATGGGTGCCTCGGTGAGTTGTATAGCGAGATTCAGTCCGCCTTATTTATACGTCCATGCATGAGAGTTAATTTTGGCATTTTATTTTAACGTGGAATTGTGCCGGCGAAGTAATCTCATGTTAGAAAATTGGTTCTAAACTTTTAAGCCTTTCCAAAATGGCAATGTTGCCAGGTTTCACAAGTGTTAAAAATATAGGTACTACGTATCAAGAGGCTGGCTAAAGAGAGAACTGGAACACTAACCCGGCATCCTGTTGGGCTAACAGAAGACTACACGTGGTCTCCTCGGTGTGCATTCTAGCAGCAACACTCTGGTACACCTTCGAGTTGAGCTTGTCGTCGATTACGCCTTGCAGCTCAAAGTCACTGTACATTTTCTGGAAACAGACAATATGACGCATTGTTTATAGTCTACAAGTTTCTGTTTAAATTACGTTGTATTTCAATTTTAAAATTGGTCAGATTGTAATCGGCCTGGATAGCAGCAGTTTTGCCACGTAGAAAAAACTGAGACATTTCGATCGTTTTTGTGGTCGAAATCAAGCGTGTGTATTTAAATAAAACTAATTTTATGGATTTTATCGCGTATATTAACTTATTTTATATTCCCGACGGTTCGAGCACTTTCCAGCGCCCATAGTCACGGGGAGGGACTGTTTTTAATCTGGAGGTAGCCGTGGTTAACTATGACAATGGGATGTCATACACCTCATTCCCCCCCGTGACCATGGGTGCTGGAAAGTGCTCGAAACGTCGGGAATATAAAATAAGTTAATATACGCGATAAAATCCGTAAAATTAGTTTTATTTAAATGTGTAGTGTTCGCGTAAATATAAGAAATCATTATGTCAACTGTGTGTAGGTAGGTACATGAGAATGTCTTTCAGACAACGTCGGTCACGACGGCAAGTCTCAATAGAGATTAGCCATCTGCGTAGGACCAGATTATAGGGCACGAGTTGTGTATATGTGCTACTTTATATTACTTACTTTACGCTGATATTGAGTCCAGGGGCGTAGCTACCGCCGTATCAGCCGTATCAATGATACGGGGCCACCGGGCTACAGGGGCCCCGAACGTATGTAAGCAAAAATTCTAAGGACTTCTATTTTTTTTTATAGGATAGGGTGACAAACGAGCACACAGTCCACCTGATGGTAAGTGGTTACTGTGACCCATAGACATCTACATTTATCCCCAATAAAGGCTCAAGATGCAGATGCGATGTCACCCGTGAGGACTAAGATGAATGCCTCTTTGAAAGTAAAAAGGGTCTCCGGTTCTCTACACTCACCATACGAAACACCACTATGACATTATAGTATTAAATAAACAAGCTCACCTTCAGTATGATAGACAGGCAGGCGACCTGCTGCGGGTGCAGCGCGGGACGCTCGGTCAGCCACGTGCTGATGAGTCCCACTTGAATGCCGTACCACTGTTCGAACAACTGCAGGATCCACAGCTCGTCTGTCACCTGCACACAAGATATATACACATGCGCCAAGTGAATGCTCTACGCAATCACATGTACTCGAGCCTCCATAGGTGTTGCGTTCTACCGTAGATGAATCGAAACCCAACCGTGACAAATAGCCCGAGCCTATCCAAAATTTGAATTAGAACTGATTAGCACGATCGATCATAACGTTTCAATGTTAAAGTATGATACTTTATCCAGGAGTTAATCAATACTATTTACTACTATACTTAATAATATTGTAGCGGACAGCGAGGAGGCCGCCGCCCCTTCGCCCCTTCACACCCCGGTGCGCCCCGCGCACCCCGCACACCGGCAGCGGATCACGCGATGTCGCCGACCAATCAGCGCGCGGCATCGCCTTACGACGCTACTCACGAACCAAGACGCTCTCTTGAGGCATATAAGAAGGGCGTTTTGGTCTGTGAGTCGTTCATTTCGGAAGCGGCACTCGAAGAAAAGAAACAGCAAGAGAAATCAAGAAGAATCAAGACTCCATAGAAATTAAGAAGACTCCAGTTAATAGTGCCACATTGTAAATAGTTTGAATACAGTATAGTTCGACAGTACCATCTTTTCTTTAAGCAGTTCCCTAGCGTAGTGAGTAATACAGTCCACTCGCCATAAGTAAAACCATACTGCGATCCACAACAAATATTAAGGTCTGTGTCTTCAATAAATAATGTTTTTTTTTTACATCTTTAAGCTTTTTATATATTTGCAAATACGATTAAAAGGCAAGATTTACATTTTTCTAACGGGCTCGCACCCAGGATCGGGATCTTGGGCAAACAATAAGACTCTCACGTTGTAGGGAGCACATTTCTTGAATCACGATTGGCAGGCAGATTGACGATGGCTGTACCAGATGTTTCGCATTTTTAAACATCCAGATGCTTCCCATCACTAGTGTGAGTATTTTTCGTATGGCGTCTATCGAATGGGCAGTAGCGTCTTCCTAATAACGACTAAAAATAAAAAAAAAACTGCGGTTGCCAACCCGCTTGCCAAGCGTGGCAACTATGGCAAATATACAAATATGAAGCAATCTATGGGTGAAGTTATGTTCTCTAGATTTCTGGTTTCTGATGATGTTTGTGCTGTTCGCATTTTGGCTTTTACAGCTCCATCGGACGGCAGATAGCTGATGTTGTAAGGAGAGATACTTACGGTATTTTTATTTTAGAAAAATAATTAGGGTTCCGCGCAAGAAAATGAAAACGCATGATATCCAATCGTAATAAATTCCATGAGGGCGAAGTCGCGAGGAACAGCTAGTATTCGATAATATTAAAGTTTCTAATTTCATTTTAATCGACTGCAACTTTCAACAAAAATACGTTATCCATTCCTTAGAATATGGACCCTAAAGATTTTTGGTTGTATTCAAATTATAAATATGTATGTATATGAGAAGAGCGTGAGTTAGAGATCCTTTTTGAGTAACTACGATTAATTCAATACCGATACGACTTAGGGACCTTCAAGAAGAGAGCGTACTCTTTTTTAAAAGGCCGGCGACGCATCTGCGATTCCCCTGGTGTTGCAGTTGTTCATGGGCGGCGGTAATCACTTATCATCAGGTGAGCCGTATGCTCGTTTGCCCCCTCTAGTATAAAAAATAAAAGTATCAAAATTTTGCGTTTTCGCCAAATTCTCTTGTCTGCGATCACCAATCCGTTTACCAGGTGTAGCGATCTTACTGAACCCTTCCTACTTAGTGAATGGCTCGTAATTATCTAGTACTAGAACGTTAAAAAATTAATAAAGAAGAGAAATAATACTGATATAATATGAGAAAGTAGATATAATTTTTCTTTACCTTTGATCTGATTTGGTCCATGGAGTTCCTCATGAAGTTAACGTAGCCCTGGCCGATGTCCTTGCCTGATCCAGACACGTTCGCTATGGTCAGTATCGACCCGATCAGACTGAAATTATTGAAATTCCAAAATTGAATTTATATTTAATATTATATAGAAGGCCCTGTAGCGACTTTAGCTATCAATCACAGCGCCACAATGACGTAAAATCAGGCCGAACAACAAATGCGAAGCATGAATCACGCTATCGAAGTCTTCGAATCACTTTTTTTAAGCCAGACCAAAAGAGTTTCTGTCTCTAGTGGACTCATTTTACGTGGAGTGGAAGTGGAGTAAAAATTTGCAGTAAGTAAAGTAATTCATCATTCATCATCATTATAGCTAATGAACCGGGTCCCGCCATGTAGATTGTTACAAAGCTTGGTCTTAAGTCACCTACACCTACCACGAATCTCGAGTTTGTTTCATCAGGTTGTCGCCCTATTTAGTTGGGGGGAAGGGGGGAGGGTTTGCCTAACTGAGCAGGCCATATGGCATAAAAGCCCAAAAATAAGCAGTACTTAAGTATCCAATTATAAGTAAATAAGAATAAATGGTTTGTCAATAAGCTCGATGACTCTTCCTCTACTACAAGATCTGATTTCTTATTATAATTAAAAATTAAAAATTATGTACAACCGACTTCAATATACATAAATTATTAGGAATAACTCAAAAACTATTGATCAGACCTTGATCAAAGAAGCATCAGCTTTCAAATAAAAAAGAATCATCGTAATCGGTTCACCTAGTAAAAAGTTATGAGGTAACACACATTAAAAGAACATACAGTCATACTATAATATAATATCAAACCTTAATATATGTAGCTGCAGCATGGCTCTACCGCGTACGATTAATTTTAAATGTCAGGTACACTATGATTTTCGCCTACGTCGTGGAGGCGTATTACATACATAAATTGCGTGTTGTGAATTTTCATACCTTCCCTCATCGAACCTCGCGATCTTGGCCAGCGTCGCCTCGAGCACAGCTGAGAGACGCGTCGTCATGCCAGTGGCCATCGCTAGTAAGCAAGCCTCGATTTGAGCGTCCATCTTTGCGTGGTACTGGTACTGGAAGGAATCGTTATTATATTCTATACTCGTTCTACACAATTCGTCGTTGACGCCGCAAAGGGGCGAACATTTATATATAAAAAAATTACAAGAGAGCAAGAAAATATTTATTATTCCCCGATTACTGGCTTTTTTTCATCAGAAAATTAAATATATTAGACTTAATGGAAAGATAAGATTAATTTTTTGATGAAAAAAATCTAGTAATCGGTGAATAATACATGATTTCTTGCTCTCCCGTAATTTTTTGAAAAATTGTGGTTCGCCTCTTTGAGGCTTATCAACGACGAATTGTCTATTTTGATAAGATATACATATAATTATTAAATTATTTTTAAACGGTTTCATTCGAGTTCATCAGTAAATTATTTATTTTGTGTATATTTATATAAAAATAAGAATAATAACTCAACAAGACACACTAATACATTAAAACTATAAAATTAAAGTTTTAATTAAAATGAAAAAAAAATTGATAAGCAAATATGGGTAATATCTTTTAATTTATAGATATTATTATATTTAATACCTACGTATAATATGTTTCCTACAAAATACTTACCGCGAGTGACGGATTCATAGCCTTAGGAAATATTTTTTTAAAGAAAGAAAGACATGCAAAACATAAAAGTAATTAAAATCATAAAATAATACAACAATAATACTTAAAAGCTTATTAAAATAAGAAGAAACATGCCAATATTAAAATATATTTGTTTAAAAAAATATCTCGATAAAAATAAGAAATATTTAATTAAATTAAATTAATAATTGAAAATTTGCAATATTTTAAAGTAAAACTTAATTATACTTACTTTGCTATACTACCAAAATTTTAAAAGAGCTTAACTTTGTTAAGTTCTTTAATATTTCGTTAATATTATTGATATATTAGTAGGAGTAGTAAAAGAAGGCTTACATAGAAAAACTAAGGATTGTATAAATCAATAATTGTGATTTTTTTTGTAGATTATTTAATGTTGGAGCCATCGATCACTAATAAAAAACAAGATACACAATCAGTGACAAAAATGTCCTTACCGAATGAGCGCCCACTCGAACATTTGGGTTGTGAGTACAACTTTAGACAATGCATTTAAGGTTGAATTTACATTAATGTATACTTATTTCAACTAAAATTACGTCAAAACAATTGGCGACAGTTTTTAGATAACCTTTGCATGGGATTGTGTATCTAGTTTTTTTTTATAAGAAATCGATGGTTGGAGCTCATATAAAATGGTGGCTCATTAAGAAATGAAAGTGCAGCTGCCTTGTTACCTCTGAGCACCACGATGGAATGTTTTGTTTGTAGTAAATAGGGTATCTGGTTACCATACGAAACTTAGCGGTATTATGGTGATATTACACGCTAGTATTTTGCGAGAACGTGACCCTTCCCCGGTCGAGCCACCTATTTGAGCTGAGGTATTAGGTATATGAGTAAAACTGCAATGTAACTACCTACCGCGTAAAAAATATTGATATCTGCCGAAAGTTTTCGTCAAAATCAGTTATGTAGGGTAATGACCTCCAGACCGAATTTCAATTTTGGTGGTCAGTCTCAACTAACGGAGGCTAGCCATCTGTGCAGGATAGGATTGTAGTGCACGAGTGTGGGCACAAGAGAGTGTGCACCTGGTCACTATTCCCTCACTCTCAAAGTTCGATGGCAACATTTATCCATTACGAGGCATGGGAATGAAAACACTGCCAACACTCCAGGCTGCTACTGTGGATTTTTTGACAGAAATATCTAATTAATTTTCATCCAGGATTCACCACTGGGACCACACGACCACACGTCAAGACGTGCACCACAAGAGTAACGAAGCTGTCATCATCTATCACGAATTGTACTCACAATATCGACGCCCTCCACGGCGCACAGCTTGAGCGCCTGGTTCTTCGCGTCGAGCGCCACGTTGACCATCGCGCACGTCTCCGCCGGCAGGATGTAGTCCGTCGACATGAACGTCACGCTCTTCTTCAGCCAAGACTGCGAACATATTATAATATTTGTGACGATGATTATGTTGATGATAAAATATTTTCTGTTGTACATAAAGCCGTAGCCTTCACTTAATAAGCTATGGTCTATTTGATACAAGTTTTTTTTTTATACAAGTAAGGGTGACAACCAACAATGGTAAGTGGATGCTGCGGCTTCTAGATCACTATATTTCTATCAATTAAGAATCAAAATGTAGATGCATTGTTAAACCTAATGGATTTTAAAACTGAAAGTTGAAGAATGAAACGAAATTAAAGTTTATTTAAAATACAATAATTCCAATAAAAAAGTGTTCTGGTTTTCGTCACTTACAATACGAAACAAAGTGGTATTATGCTACCATTTTACGTTGTAAGAGGGTAGTCCCTATTATACTAATAATTCATATATGTGTCAAATATATAACAGCCAGACCGGAAATGGATAGCATCGTTAAAGGTGGTAGAGAAAAGCTGCAACTATATTATGGTTGTAGCACGAATCGGTCGACTCGACCGGGGTCCGGCCGGGCCGGGGGGAGGACCACGCTCTCACAGAACACCAGCGTAAAATAGCAGCTAATGCTGCTATGTTTCGTATGACGAGTGTAGAGAATCGGAACCGAACCTTTTTACTGGAAACGAGGCATTCCATCTTAGTCCACAGGGGTGAAAACGCATCTATATTTTGATCCTTAATCGAAGATAAATGTAGATGTCTATGGGCCACAGCGTCTACTTATCGACAGGTGGACTGTGTGCTCGTTTGTCACATTTATTCTATAAAAAAAGGTGCGGGACTTCTTATACAACAATGGCCAATCCACTTGCCAAGCGTTACGAAGGCCAATCTTCCTTATAACGCTAGAGACCCATGTCCAGTAGTGGACTGATACAGGCTAAAGAAAAGTTTACAACTTACACACTTTCTACAAATTGCCGATTCCGTTTTCAAGAGGGTTATGGAGCAAAAAAGAATCTGTCACACTAAAAGGCGGTTCCTCATCTCTGTGTATTAAATTGACTTAAACCTACAAATATACTTCATACTACTAAATATTAAGTATATTGAATACATTACAGTTAATTATCAACCTGGAAAGAAGATTCGGTCCTCTGTATGCAGGTTTCCATCATGTCCGAGGCCATCAATTTCAGACGTTGCTCGAGATGTGAACGGAACTCGGGTTCCGGCCAGTGCAGGTCTCGTATGAAGCATTGCAGCGCGTCCAGTTTCCAGAACAATTCCTCACTGGTTGAACAGCCATTGCTAAACATATTATAATGACTAATAAATAATGACGCTTTCCAATTCCTTAAATTACATTATATATGTATGTATAATAGTCTCGTTCGTAGCCACAGATTACCCCCTTAGGGGGTAATCTATGTTCGTAGCACTCTCGCGTACTGTCCTGTTGTCTGGCGGCCACACTCAGCGGTTCACAATCTACGCATTGAGCGTATTCAGAAGCGGTTTCTGTGGCATTTGGCACGATTAATTGGTAAAGCAAAGAGAGATTTCTCATATATAGGCTCAAATTTTAAAAATGTTATCCTTAGATAAACTTAGGGAGCTAACATACTTGTTGTTTTTGTATAAAATTCTCAACAATAGAATTAGTTGTCCACAGTTACCGAACTCATTTGATTTTAGCGCGCCTTCAAATTATCCGCGTCATCTGATAGCACCACTGAGACAACCAATCCTCAGAACCGTTCTTGGCTCCAACTATTCATTACCCAGACTGTGTTAGCTTCTAAATAGCTACAAACACAGAGTTGACCTAAACTCTGATTCCGCTTACAGTTTCCGCAAAAAGATTGTCGACAGTATGACTATTACTTAATTTCGTGCAATCAGCTTGTGTTCTCTTTTACCATACGGATAAACAATGGTTTTTTTTTCTTTTAAAATTGTTAACTTTATTTAGTAAAATCAAAACCCACTTAAGTTATTGTTATATTGCATGCTGTGTTTACTAGTAAGTAAGTAGTCACTACACTTAGCTGAAGAAACTTTTCTGTTATTTAAGATTGTTATCGTGTAAGTTAACTGTTAGTAAACCATACGAATAAAATAAAGAAAAATAATAAAAGAAAATTAAATAAAATATATCTTGCGATGCAGAAGAATCTTTCACCCCAATTATCAAAATTAAAGATGTTAAAAATTAGTTTAGAGCCGCGTAATAAAATAAAATGATGTATCTTACCAGTTTGAAGAGCATCTCCCGCCCTTCCTCAATTGCGTGCACAGTCAAAACACTACTACTCTAGGAAATACACACCATCGTCGATAATACGTCACGACACGTTTAGTGGTGTTGGGAGTAGTGGTGACGGGGATAGTGCACGCAATTGAGGGAGGGCGGGAGATGATTTTCAAACTAGGTAGGACACGTCATTTTTTTCATTTTTCTGTAAATTTTTATTGAGGTATAATACAGTTATATTAATTATTATGATTTTATTCTATTACGCGAATCTTAGTTTATTAATTTTTAACATCTTTAATATAATGGATTCCCGCAAAGTAACGCCTGATTCTATTAATTCGACTCGATTTATCGTCCCTTGGGTTTCGTAAGAGGTAACTACGGAAATTACCAGAAAAAAATTATAGCTTCCGATAGATGGCGGTAGCGGTGGATCGTCACAATTGGCAGACAGATCAACGATCGCAGTACCAGACGATTTTACCATTCCAATCTGTTCGCGACGGTGTAAAGACTTTAAGCAAAAAGTGATTAAAGAATATTAAAGTGTTTTAAAAAGTGAAATTAGCAAATAAATCGAGCAAATTGTGTTTAATATAGTTTTACAGTATGTTTACAATTCATAATATATTTGTATAAAGTATCGTTTTAATAATAAGTTGATATAAACGACTTTAAACATTAAATAAAATTTCGACCAATCACAGCGCAGCATATCGTGGAACTTTCTAGAAGTTAATTAACTGCGCAATAGTTTATATGAAAATAATGAGAATATTTTTATGTTCTGAAAGAATTGTAAATACGATATTTAGTTAGCATATGGTATATAGATTGAAATAAGTAAATAGATAATTTATGTAAATAAACGCATTTGAGAAATATAGTAAAATTAAAGATTTAATGTGCACTTTTGTAATGTAAATTTGGTACATTTCGATTAATAACTTTTTTGAATGTAAATATATCAAGTAACCCTTATCACATAATGATAAAGGACCAAAATGCCTATTTTATAGTGTATAATGTGTTAATGTAAAAATTAGCATTATATAGAAAAATTGCGATTTGTGCAAATTACGTAATGAAAATGTTTGATAATAAAAAGGTAAAACCGGAAATTGGCAAGCGGCTCTCTATAGAGTATAGCCGAAGTCTACCTTATGGGGGCATATCACAGTAACATTGTAGTAGGAAGAACTACCAGTAACAAGCAGTAGTATCCGGTAGTAGCTGAAGTGACTAGTAGCAGAACACAGTGAAAAGTTAAAGTGAAATAGAAAAAGTTTAGCTAGCCGAAAAAGGTCGTAACTGAAAAATCGCAGTTACACATAGTCGGAAAAAGTGGCAACTGAAAATTCTCAGTTGCATATAGTAAAATAGTGTCAGCTAGCCAAAAATAGTGGTAACTGATATTCGCAGTTACATATAGTGAAAAAGTGTTGGCTAGCTGAAAAAAGTGGTAACGGAAATTTCGCCGTTACATATAGTGAAAAGTGTTAGCTAGACGGAAAAAGTGGTAACTGATATTCGCAGTTACAAAAGTGTTAAATTCAACTAAATTTAGTTGATTAATAGCTGCTAGTCAGTAGTGTTAGAAAACCAGCTGCTACCAATAGAAATTTTGGATACTACCAATAGAAATTTGTTACTTTCAATAGATATTTAAAATTACCAATAGAAATAGTAGAGAATACCAATAGAAACTTGTTACTGCCAATAGAAATTTGATATTACCAACAGATATTTTGAAAATACGAATAGAAATTTTAAAAAACCAATAGAAATTTTAATATTACTGTGTGTTTAATTAAATCTGTGTTTTAAAATATATAGTGAACAATCATAGTTGAAAAACAGTGTTAAATAAATAAATAAGTTATAATATTTCGCGACTAATTAATCAGTCGAACCGCTGGCCACTCCCTTGCTATTTTAATTTATAAATCGTGCATTTTTAATTCTGAACCTCAGTCCACAGTTCTCCAACAGCATACACAAAGGCGGTAGTGAAAGTATCCACCGGAACCTATAGGTGTAGGACGTGAGCGGCTCGCGGAGTATCTTCGACAACATTTACTCCGGAGAGTTACGCCCGTCCGGCACATTCGTTGGTCCTTCGAGCCGGATTCTTCCGTTTAAACTCCGAGCCGAGGCCAACATTCGTTGGTCCTTCGAGCCGGATATCATCCGTTTGTATTTCGGAACCAGATACATAGACACTACCGTATTAAAGTCAATAGAATTTTCAGAATCAAGATGCCGATCACTCGTTCGCAAGGAAGGGGAGCCATGGCGTGGACCGTCGGTCTGGAAGGAGGCCCGTCGGACAATACCGACGCCGTCCGCCACCAGATGCCACCACGCTCACCATCGACCACAGAGGGCGTTGAGGCGCCACCTTGCCCCCGCGATGGGGGGGTACTCCTGCCCGTGCCGGCCGCTACAACCGGTACACCGAAGCAGATGAAACATATAGAGGGCAATGATGACATTCGATGTGCATCACCGCCAACAGTCCGGGAAAACTCCCGCACCGAAGAGCCACCTAGGGGCCACCGAAATAAAAGTATAAAGTCGAAAGGGACTATTCGGCCCAATAGAAAAGTTTTGAAGGCTCGTGAAGAAGTGCTGAGAATTAAATTAGAACTCGCACAAATTTCCTTGCAAATGGCAGAGGAAGAAGATGAGTCGGACGACTATGATGAAGATGGTCACTCTAAAAGCGAGTACGTCCGATCTTGGCTCGAAAATAGCGTAGCCAAGCAAAAGCCAACTCATGGCGTCGCCACCGGAGGGGAGGCCCCACTAAACAAAACCGTCACAAGGCCACCCCCGGAGGTTGTCGACCTCAGTGAGCCGCAGAAGAAGCTCACAAACCATAGTTCGAGGGTTGATGAAGAAAGGGGGCTCCTACCAATCGTATCAGAGCCCACCTACCAGGATCACGATCCGGAAGAAGTACCCAAGAATCCTGTGCCACTAAAAATTAGCCAGGAATCGAAGGTTGATGAAGACAGGGAGCTCCTACCAGCTGTATCAGAGCTCACCTACCAGGATCCCTATCCGGCAGACGTAACGAAGAATCCCCTACCAACGAAGCCTAACCAGGCATCTGTCACAAATGAAGACAGAGGGCTCCGACCATTTATATCGGAGCTCACATCCGCTATAGCCGCACTCGCTGACAAACCAAAACCAGAGAGTGCATCGTCGCATACTTTCGCAGCGTCGAAAGCTATAATGACACTGCCGTGCTTTAGCGGAGCACATACTGAATGGCTATCTTTCCGTGCCATTTATGAAACAACCCGAGGCTACTTCAACGATATCGAAAATACGGCTAGACTACGAAGAAGTTTACAGGGAAGAGCCTTGGAGACAGTTAGTTCGGAACTCATCGGGCATGCTAAGCCAGATGAGATCATGCGAGAACTGGAGCTACAATTTGGGCGTCCAGACTCAATTGCACAAGCTGAGACCGAGAAGTTACGAGGATTGCCACGCTGCACAGAAGCGCCTAGGGATATTTGCACATTCGCAAGCAAAGTGAGGGGAAGTGTCGTCACTCTACGGGCACTCAAACGAGACCACTATCTAATCAACGCAGAGCTGCTACGACACCTCACAGACAAATTGCCCAATTCTATACGGGCACAGTGGTATAAAGTTTATACCGAAAAATACGACTCTAGGCCAGACCTCGGTTCTTTCAGCGAGCTTATCACCGAACAAGCTCGCTACTGTAGTGCATTTGCGCCTCCCGAAATCATAAACGGGGCGCAGAACAATCGTCCAGTACATAGGACACACACGGCTACCACTAAGCCGTCTCCGAAGTGCAGAGTGTGCCAAAAGGAAGGCCACTACGGATCCGACTGTAAAATATTTAAAGAAGCGGATACCGACAAAAGATGGGAACTCGCAAAACAATATAATTTATGTTTCCGGTGTTTGCGATACAAAAACCAAACACACCAATGTAAAACCACGAAGTGTGGAATAAAAGGATGCGCCGCGACACACAATAGACTTCTCCACCATTATAAAA